ACTTCGACGAATTACGGGAATTCACGACCCAGTTACGAAAATGGAAACACGAAAGACAATATCAGCAGAACATTGGGCATTAGAATCCCCTGAACGACTAGATCAAATGTTTCAGGAACAAATAAATAATCATCGACAGCCAGGACCACGAAATATTATTGATGAATCAGGACAAGTTATAACGGATGACAACCAAATATCAACCATTTGCTAGACCAATTGCTAGACCATCTCATAAACGCCAACCACATTCCCCTTCCAGACATGCATTTTTACCTAAAACGTCATGCCAGTCCTGCCATCTTACTTTTCTGGAATTCGTTTCCAACACCAGAGATGATGGAAACACAGTAGGTTCAATATACTACGATCTAAAGAAGTTCTTTGACAAAGTTCTTTATAAAAGCCTACTGATAATGCTAAAAAGTCATGAAATTAGGTCCCCCCATCTCGGTTTTCCTAAATCCTTCCTTCAAATGCGATAGCAAGTGGTGTAAATTTAAAAAGTAGTCTCAAAACCATCTCCTATTACCAGTGGAGTATTTCGAGGCACTATCCTAGGCCCCCTTCTTTTTCTCATATATATTCCCGACTTGTCGTCCACATCAGTACCATCTAAGACATTTTATATGCGAACGACCTGAAATTTACATATGGATATAACGGGAATACAGTAGCCAATATTCACAGAAAAATTTAAACCGATCTCAGAAAACTCAGCGAATAGAGTAGTCAATGGCAGATACCCTTTTCACCCGAAAAAGGCCGTCTCCTGCTCTTTGGCACCCAGTGTTTATAATTAAAACTATATCATAAATAAGCTATTCTACCCCTCCGGATTCAAAGACTCCAAAATGGTCTAAACTTCCTATTCAAGGTAACCTATGACCAAGATATTCGCAAAATGAATCTACTAACAAACCGAAACGACCCCAGAAACACCAGAAATAACGAAGATATTGTAAGGATGTCCAGATTAACAAAGTTCCAAAGGTCAAATTTCTACTCTATAAGATATGCCACTATTTGGAATGCTCTCCCAAGTTCTATCCGGAAAAGTCGAACCCTAATCGAGTTTAACGTAAAAACTTAGAAATTCATTTCAAATAACAATACACATTCATTTCTGTATAAAGTATAAAGTCACTTTTTTGATAAAGCATTTGATCCGAAAGGGCTCTATTGATGCGAACCGCTTGAATCATATCGAAACATAGCATTCAAAACAATCAACTTTACGAAAGACAGCATCACTGATAAACATAGAACATATAATGATGTTCTTTCTCTCCTCCATTTCTCCTTTTCATCAGCTATGTCACCGGACACCAAATATCCCTTAAGGAGCTAATAATAACATCCCAGTCGACAAAACCCTACATATTCGTTGTGCGTAAGTCTATATTAGGGACATATTAATCATATACACAACTATCTAAGGTCTTCGTAAACAGTCGACCACTACTTCTATAATGCCACATTCACAAGAACAATGCTATACATGATTCAATATGATTTTGACAACTTTGATTGTGACTTACCATTGAATGTTTCTTCCTCCTGATATGTATTTATCTTTTCCAGCTGTTAGTCCAGACAACCATGTAAGCCTCCTAAAAAATACGAACTGTGCGACCGCCACTTAGCAGCTGGCCAGATAGTCTGACAACCGGCAACTAGAAGACACCCAAATTTATTCAAATCGAAAATAATTAATGGTAAGGGCGATATCAAAGTTCTTCAATTTCCATGAATGACATATTGCGCATGTCCCCAAAAACAACAAAACCGCACACTTCAAATTTTATATTGTACATATCGTTCTTTGTTAAAACTTTTGCGATTATTTTGTCTTGGGACTAATGTTTTTTTAACTTAAAACAAACTCTCAATTCGCGCTCTATTGGCTAAACGGACACCCAAAACAAATGAAGCAAAAGTACAGTCGAAATGGATGAGTTTGTTTCAGGTTTTTTCCTGAGTTCAAAGAAGACTGACAGTGCCCAAGGGAGGCTATAATAAACGTATTCTATCTATCCTATTCTGTGCGGCACAATCCCAAGGAGGCCCTTGGAAACATTGGGCATTACATCAGGAGGAATGATTGCATCGCTACAGGCAGGAAAGCCACACCAATCCAATTATCTAGTGCAGTTATTTATTAAGTCGTTGTGTAGGCAATCATAATTTGGGCTAGTCTGAACTGTGCTGGTCTGTTTTGTAAAGGCAGGTGCCAAGCAACAATGAATTAATACGAAAACACTATCACAGAGGCAACAAAAAGGGACGATGCCATTGGTAAAGATAAAATCTAAAGTGTGATAATTTCTTATTGGAGAGCGCACTAGTTAGCGCCAATTAGGAAAATTAGCAATATCTTGGAAGGGCTGGAATCTAGGTGGATAGATATTGGAAGCTCAGTCTATTGCTGGAAGGTTAAAATCCCCAGTTATTATATTAACATCGAAAGTATCTTCCGAAATTAATTTAAAGATTTCACATAGTTGTGCATCACTGGCTAAAGAGTTTGGAGGATTGTTGGTACAGCCAGTAGTAGCCTTCCTTTGAGGAGAGAGAATAACAGATGCAAAGCAGAAGTTTCTCGTGAATGAGGAGGCGTCCATGTAATAAGGAGTGTGCTTTGGGTAGTGTACTCGGCCCGCTTTTATTTTGCCTTTTCGTTAATGATGTACCCGATTTATTTCAGAATGGTAGGCCTTTCATGTATGCCGATGATCTTAAGGTTGCATATCGATATAAGCCGGCAGATCATGACATCGTGCTTGAGCTCCTAAAGAGCGATCTACAGGCTTTCGCCCAGTGGTGCCGCACATGGCGTCTTTCTCTTTCTTGGAATAAGTGCTCAGTCATGGTGGTTGGCGAAGACCGCCAACTTCAACTAAGTATTGAAGGTCACGCCATAAATGTGCCTGGGGTTTTTAAGGATTTGGGCGTATCATACTCCAAGAGTTTCAATCTCTCGGAGCACTGTGCCTTGATAGTCTCCAAAGCACGTAGAACGACCGGGTTTATCCTCCGAAATTTTAAAATTAGGGACATTAGAATGCGCCTTTTCAACATGTACGCTAGACCTGGCCTGGAATACTGTTCTTTTTCATTTGCCTCATGCGTGCTACTGAGCGGAAGAAAATAGAATCCGTTCAACACTTTTTTACCAAGAGAATTTTAACCCCGGAACACCGACATTTGTATTACCAAGAACGTTGTCGGCTTACAGGCCTCGATCCTTTATGGTTCCGTAGATTACAAAAGAGACTATTTTTGCTGTTTAAACTCTTATATAATCACACATTTAACCCACTCACCTCTTTAAGACATAATATCCACCCACGACGTAACAGTCACCGTGAGGTCTTTTTATTTCTGCCTCTGGCACGAACTGTTAAATATCGTCGGTTCTTTTCTGTAAATGCAATTGCTATTTGGAATAAACTACCCAGGAGTGTGAAAACTCTGCAAAATTATCCATTATTTAAGAGAACTATTATTCGCTTTTTGCATTCAGAAAAGCTCCCACAAATTTTGGGTGCTGAAAACTCTGATAGACTGTACTGTAGCGATGGCGTTTGTGGTCTCTGAACACTATGGCCGGTCTCACCAGCTGTTCCTCAACGCCTCTACTTTGGCTATCCCCAACTTCATGAAAGGAAGTTGACGTCCGATAATCTCCGATACCGTGCAACCTCCCCCCTTCTTGACGGTCGATATTCTACCACCGCCGGCAGTTTTTTCTCCTGAGCCCTCCAAACCATAAAAACCAACATCAACTATATTTTTATCCCTTTAGCTGAAGAGTTTTTTCACTGGTGGTCGGATTTATGTTTAATCGCTTCCCTTGACAATGCCTGTAAACTGGCATTAAATAAAAAAATTATTTATTTTTTTATTTAATAATTTTTTTATCTAATATAAAGAAGACAACCGCCCCCACGACTGATTGTGCGGTCATGACGGTAAAAATCGGGTTATCTATGAAAAGGGCAGAGTCCGGAATGAGAACATGAGTCCAAGATTCTGTTACACATATTATATCAGGTGTCATTTCTAGAGCAATGGCTCTGACTTGGGCCATCTTGTTTATAACAAATCAGGCATTCAATGGTATAATATCTAATGTGATTCGAATAACACGGTTATTGTCAAGAGTATTTGGAAAAAAATCGAAAGGCGGATTTGTAAGCTGTCAATTAATGATGCTTGGAGAATAAGTTGATGGGAGAAAGCTAATCTGCGAAGGGTTATTCACTATCCAAAATATCAACCTCTCCCGGGTTGTTTCCCATAGGGACACACTCACTTTCCTATTGGCTTCTCTCATGCCTTTCACTGACTTAGGGAGCGGAGTCCGTTTGTTGTTTTCTTGGGCACTGCTAGCTCCCCACCATGTTGACTACGGTCTATCTATCAGCGGGATACGCGCCTGCGTTATAGCGGGAGAATGTGTTCCAGCATTCGGTCAGAGCGTCCTCGCGTGTGGCTTTCCTGACACTAACATAAAATAGAATAGAACCGATCCAAATTTGCATGCGGCATGTGGCAAGCAAATGCGAAGTTTCCCACATATTCCTAACTTATTTAATTCCTGACGTATTTTGGGAAGTAGGAATCATCTATATTTTGAGCTGAATTCCCACAAGACTTAACTTTATTTGAGCTCTGGTATCTTTGGCGAGAAAAGCGAAGTTTCGCCATAAAAATCCTACGGATTTGTACTTTATTTAATTTTCGATAGTTTTTGGGGGAAAAAGTTAGCATTTACCACACACGATGCCTACTTAATCTCATGGCAGTTGACACCTGGCCCATTCGGAACTAAACATGAATTTTTCTTTTAGGAAATCCTACCTTATCCTAACTAATTTAGTTCGCAATACTTTTGGGGATATAAATCAACTTTAAATTCGAAAGTCGAATAACCTAAATAAAAACACTGAAGGTCGTACCAACTTCAGGAGCCCATTGTATCAGAAAACCGCAGAATGCAGAAGTCGCGTAGTGTGTATTCGATTCAGGTTCCCTCAAATGAATTACTTAATAAGCCCATTTCATCATCTGTACTTCGAAATGGCCGCCGAGCGCCAACCTCTGCGCTTAACCTGCCGGATTCCGGAATCGATGTGGGTTCTTTCACAGGAAATGTTAGCGTAATTCTGTTTGAATTGCCTAGAGGTACTATAGTCTACCTCAAAATGCAGAAAGGGTTGCCTTTCTCATTGTGCTTAGTACACACTATTTATTCTAATGTCAACTGGACTTGTTCGAAGTGTGAAAACTGCATTTAGTAATAAGAAATATGTTTTAGGAACTGCATATAAATTTTGCTTTTAAGGATAGTTCTGCCTTTTTATCTTAGTATCCTTTGAGTTTTCTTCAGACCAGAGTTTTACAATAGTTCTGATTACGCCTGTAATCTAAAGAAATAGTCCGAGTCCTACTATTTACAAGGTAAAGTTACTATCTAAGTTAACTGTTGTAGCTGACTCACCGAATTTAGTGTTATAAAATCAGTTCGGTCTAATGAACGTGGAAATGTAAACCGCTTATAAGTAATTTTTTTAAGCGCGAAAGTTTCCTCCGGGGTAATCTGTTTAGAATGATTTCGAAAACCATGTAATTCTGAGTATCCCCTGTTGAATACCAGGCTAGGCGTTCTCCGTCCTTGCTATGCACGACAACTGTCAAACAACTACAATATCTGGGCATTTACCTCGAAGTCATTCATTTTCAGAAGGCATAGTCTTTGCAGACAATGATCTCGGGTCTCCCAGTCGGTTTACCAAAAATAAAAACTTGTCGTGGCTTTAAATTAGAGTAGATGTGTCAAGTCATAAAATGTCAACCGGAATTCTGAAATGCGTTTTAGAATCAAAAAATCACACAGGAAGGGTTGTTATATTTGTCATCGTGCGGCATAGTCTCAAAATTTTGAGGCTATTGGACTATTAATAGTCAAACTGCTTCTGGATGCCAGCTTTTGAACGAATTTTTTCCCAGCCGCCCGCATAAGCTAAACTGTCAAAAATTACTACTCAAGTGGTATGAATTGTCCTCATTTGTTTTCCATACCCTTATAAATTAAAGTATATTTCATATTAAACGCAAATAAAAAATATTCATTTGCTACTCATTTGGTAAAAAATAACGTCTTTTCTAAATGTTGTACTCTAAGGAATTGTATGATTTTCTTTTAAAAACGCGTCCAATTCCTGATTAATTTTCAACCTGAACTGCCATTACACTTGCCTTTAGGGCACCCAAGCTACGAGCTTTGTGTTTGCTGTGTATGGTAAAGCATATATTTCTGTACTATAGTAAGAGAAGATCATAGGGGGTCCGTACAATTTAGAAGTGGATCTGAACCACATTATAAACTTTACAAACAGCACTAGTATATGCAGACACACGATGCTTTTCGAACGGGCATTTTACGGTCTTAAGAAATTTCATAATAAGAAACTTTTTTAGAACGAAACTATATCCTTACTTCAAGTATGAAATTTGGAGAAAACGTAGTTTCCTACCAAATAGTAAAAGAATGAATATTATTATACACGTTTTCTATGAGAAATATTTCAATTTACAAGGGAATCAAAAATTATTCTGAAAAAGTCATACTACTTAAGTAATTACTTTTTATAGAATTTTGATCTCGCGAGCGGTCAAAAAGACGTTCGTTCAAAAGCTGACATCCAGAAGCAGTTGAGCTATTAGGGATTATGCTGCACGATGACTAATATGACAACTCTACTTAAGTAATTTTTTTGAGTCGAGAACGCATTTCAGATTTCGGTTAATATTTCATGAATTACCACTTTTACTTAAGAAGTTATGGCCTGTGTCAGTATGTCGTTAGGAAATCGAAAAAGTTTGCCGGCATATTTTTTTCTTAAGAATACTTTGCTGCAATGATATGCAGTTGAATCTCAATGACCGGCTTTCATTCACGTAATCAGAAATTAACATGACAAATGTTCCTCTTTGAAGCATTTTGTCCCCGGTACGAAGCTGAAGTAGGCAAGAACGGCAGGATTTATTGGTACGAAAACATTTTGCGACTGCCGTTCTTGCCTACTTCAAATGTTCCTCTGGCACATGTGTAACCAGCAGATAATAAATTCCCTGTGTAATTGACAAAGGAATTAAAACCTATGTTAATTTTGAAAATTCGTGTTCTCATTCAGTCTTTAGCATAAAGAACCTAAAGGCAATCAAACAAGAACGCTGAAGTTTAGATGTCACTATCATTGTTTCGTCCTGCTTTATTTTTCACTAATGACTGTTGGAATAAAAGTAGGCCTTAAAAACTAACATTCTATACGTCAGACACATAACGCCGAATTTGTTTGAGCATATTCTGAATAGTTGTGACCAGTAATGTGGAATGAAGGTTTTTCCTGTAACGCTACTACAACACTTGGCAAAACAAAGCTACATCGTTCAACAAAACTGGTTTTTTTCTATTTCTTTGACTCTGTTTACATTGTGGCGACTGGCGTACTGTAACCGATCGATTACATTTCAAACACGCGAGAGCTTTTAACGTCGATTTCTGTTTGCAAGTTAATATCCGTTCACTGAAGGGCAAAAGTGAGCTCAAGGAATACTCTTTGACATCTTGATATTCAAACTTACTACACTACCTGACGGTACTTATCTTTTTGTCCCCTGGTACGTTTTCATCAATAAAATATCTTTAAAAGTAGTATTCCCAACGCGTGCAAATAATGGACTTTGATTTCGGCTAGCAAATACAGTCCATATTGTCCAAACTATCAGAGTACAAAAATGAAGTGACAAGCTTGCTTCTTGAAAGATACTGATTTTAAAAGAATAATTTGTTAGCAGAAACAAATATCTAGTCATATATTTTCGAGCAAAATTACATAGCACACAGCCTACCTTATGGAACTGTGCAAGAACAGCCAACTGTCAATCGGGCTAGACAAATCATTCGAAGATGGACTAGATTAATCGGTAATGCATATCCACTAGAGCATGTCATCTTACTGGAATTAGTCGTTCCTGCTTCCCTTTACTTGACTTCCTGCCTGCAGTATCTACTAGTGCATGTGTTAACCTGCTGCATGGACTTAAAAAATTCGTGCTTGGTAGCTGCCCACAATGCCAACGCACTTTTAGGCAATCTTGAACTTGTTTTCTGTGTGAGTGAGACTTCTTGGCAAAACGTTCTTTTTTACTCCTGGTTGATACTCTTGTTTTCGGATAGTGCATTATACCCATTCTTGCCCCGTTGCATTTTCACAAATTCATTACGTGGTTTTTTGTAAACTGCGTTTTGACCTAAGAACTGTTATTTTGGAACACTTCTGTCTACACTAAAAATAACCCATCCTCGTGAAATTTCAATTCAAAGACGTTAAATATTAATTGTGCACAAGTCGCAATTCCAACTGCAGTCGCACAACGTACGCAATAACAACGGAGCTGGATGTTTGCACGGAAGTCTATAATATATATGTATACATACATATATTGTATATACAACATTCGTAAGTTGTACGAAAACCATTGACCAAGATTAATGGCCAGGAGGAGGGATATTCGCACACACCTCTTGTGTCTAGTTCACTTACTTAAATGTTTCATTAGAAGTCAATAATCAATTTCTCAGACGGCTAGGCTGCTTGTTTTTAATACCTGAAAAATATATATATATTCTGCAGTATTCTTCTGAGTGGCATAGTTTTTTTGCAGATTATCCTCTAACTATCATTAAGATTTCAAAGTTTACAGTTCTGCCTTAGGATGAGGTTCCGTGGATAAAGGGGCGCACAGCATAGACAGATTTCCTACACCGAACGACTTAACTGAGCCAAAATTTTTATACGTGGGAGGCTGATTAAAGGTGATTACATGTTAGGATCGTACCAGTGCTTTTTATACAAAATAGTGCACAATTGTAGGCTTATATTGAGCAGCAAAATGGCCGTACGACTGGAGAGCCAATGCAAATTTTGTCGGATTGCTCCACGCTGCTGTAACCAGCAAAGGTCATTCGATAGTTTCACTTAAATAGGAGACAGAACTTGTTGCGCCCCATCAGGTGAGATAACCCGAAGTACTAACCATACGTCGAGCTGTGATAAGGTACTTATCTAAATATCCTTGAAGTAAACTGGTCGTAATCTATTTATCTCAAAGCACAAACATTATTGTGAGTTGTAGTATCTTTTAGTGATGAAGTAAGACACTTAACCGGTATGCATAGAAAAACCTCTCCCGCACGTTTTAAAAATCATAGAATTTGCCCAGGATTTGCTAAGTGGTAATTTTACTGAAGTACATCATTGGTAATTCATCGGCATTCATGCATCCGGTAAGCAAAATTTACCGGCAGCGGTTTTTGGCAGGAATTCAGATTATATTTTTTAACGTGTTACGATAAGAAAATAGATACATGCCTGTTCATGCTTTACTGCGTGTCCTCTCCTAGAACCCTTAGTTCCTCCTCTTTCCTGATATCGCATTCAGCAAAATCCCAAATGTTAATTTTTCTAATTTTTAAACTGATTTAACTTTAGATTATTTCTTAAACCCGAGTTCCAAAAAGCCCACAATTTGTTTATAAAATCAAAAAACTTTTTTGCTTAGAGAGATGGACACACTGTTTTTTTAGAAAAACCATCATAAATACTCACGAATTAGGTATTTACATCTTCACCTTCCCCGTGAAAATACAAATGGGACCCTTCTTTGTCACGTAAATGCTAAGCACTAGTGGCAGAGCGACGTATCTAATATTTTGGCATGAGTTAATATAGTTCTGAATCCCAGTAGAAACTGCCGTAACCCCATTTATAACCATGCACAGCTCCACCTATAGGAGTATATCGTAAAATTATGCATTGCCAAATTTTATCCGTGATCAGGTAAATAAAAGTTTGCTTTTAGTTGACATTTTTCGAGTCTTTTATGGCGTCTGGGCTCTAGCAGATTATCTAAGGTTCATACTGTCCCCTAGAATTATTTGGGGTACTGCCTAATTCATTTACCGACAGGCCCTGCCGACTTCCACAGGCTATACGCAACCCCATATCTGGAGGACGTGACACTTCAAATTGAGTCCATTTGCCGCGGAACTTTTGGGTTAAACGAACTGTAACTTTATCCACTTACCCGCGTCTTCTGAGATGCTAACGAGAATTGTTAACGACACGTAGCTGTGATTTTCACCGATTTACCTCAACTACAGAAAGTAATACTAATAATTGTGATGTCTGCGAATTTACGTGTGCTGCGTCCTTTCGCAATAATTAGCAAACAGAAGACCGACACCCTCTGTCCAAACTTTGAGAGGTGAGAAAAGATGCAGACTTATGAGCTTTGAAAATGTGACGATAATATTGACCTTTCATTCTATATTCCGTCTTAGTCGCTGAAAATGAATTCAACTTCGGAGACTGCGGACCGGTTGCGAAACTCCGAGCCCTTTGAATTTAATCCGCAGCCATCGCTTGCGCCGCCCAACAAGAGACCGACGTCCATGCTGATCTCAAACGAGCAGGGTTTCATAGAAGGTAGTTTGCACAAAAATGGAAAGATATCACCGCATGACCAGCTGGTTTCCGACTACATCCCCACTCGTGAATCCCCGCGCAGGCATGAATTTCGCAGTCCGGCACATTTTATGGATTTTGCAAAATCCCTTATAGAGGGTCTTAGGTGCGTACTATTGCCTCATTCTTATCCGTTATTTTTTCAATTGCTTTATTGATGAACATGTGTAAACTATTGATGTGACATCATAATCCCCCTTTGACTCCCTCTAAATTTATTTATTTCTGAGCATATTTATTTTTGCAAAGTTGTCAAAGATTAGCAACCATAATAAACTAAGAAAAAGATGTATCGTGTTTCTCACTATTAAACCCTCGAAGTCTCCGAAACAGCATCCTTTACACACCGCAGTCGAGCCGCCACAGCATCGTTCCATCGAAATATCCAGTGTCATGGCTGACAGCCAAAGTGTATAAGTAAACTTTATACAGGAAAAATTTAAGTGTCATTTATATAGCTCTCGATCGCAAAATTCTAATTTCCAGGCAAATTATATGCGATGTAACTCTTGTTTTCCCTTCATTAATCAAATGGCAATGCTTTCTAGGCTGTACATCGAAAAGTACGAGAAGCTTATGCCCTTTTACGCCGACACTAGTTCTCTGGTATGTCATCTTTTGTGAATCCATAATCGGCACATTTTGTTTCCTTTTTTCTGATTCTACTGGTCTTGTCAGGTTCTCCGTAGGCTTTTTTACCTTTGACACATGGACGCTATATTTACCTCCACTTGTTTCACTTATGCCTATTTAAACTTTTTAGCATGGCCGTATAAACGCGTTAAAGAAAAAGCTCCGAATGGTACGTGTTTACCCTATCATTCCCTCAATGCGAAGTTTTCACTGCAGCCTTTTCCTTGACCTCTTATGCGCTTTGGAGCTCTTTTATTTTGCCCCGCTTGTGTCAAGTATATACGATGTTGTATTTTGCTCTATTTTTCTACAGGTGGCTGTTTCCTAATGTGGCAGTTTTATGCCCGTTGTCCTTATTGTCAGTGAGTTTTTAGCACTCTGACCGCTTTAGGGCGTATGTGGTTACCGTCCTTTAGGGGGAAAGTGGCAAGATAGTGGCCCTCTGTCGCCGATGACATTGATGTCGAGCTCTTCATCTAACTGACTTGTTTCTCATCACTGCTCTTACGAATTTTGGTGCGTTCCTGTGGTTCTGTCGTCAAAAAGACAACAATGAGGCAAAATTAAGACTTACTGCATCCTTCGTACTTCATATATTCGAGTGGAAGCTGGGGGACCGATTTTAAGCATACTTGCTTACCGAGTCGTTTTTCTACCGAGGTGTGAGGAACCTTAAGGCTGACGGCCTGGACTTGTTTAGTTCAGCTAGGCGACCTTGACATACACATGAAAATTTTTTTGGACTTTGTGCCAAATGGTGGGCTGCCAAGATAGTTGAAAAGCCAGAGTGGACAGGGTGAAATACCGGATGAAATTGACGCATGCCTCATGCGTTTTGCGCCAAGGATTCATACATTGTTTTTTGATAAGTTTCACTACTATCTACCGTTACTGACTGCCTGTTTTGTGAAATTCTGGGGAGAAGAACTGTTTTCTGACTAGTTATCAACAAATGTGAATAGGCCGTTTCGGAGGAACTGACAACCGTATGTGCTAATGGGGTGCATGTGCGTAGGTCTAACTCAAGGCTATGTTGTTCATCTTGAGTATCTCAATTACGGGTTTTTTATATGTAGAGCCCGTCCTCAGTTCCCTTCCAGTGGGATGTTTTAATGCAGGTCCGATGTGACCCACTCACTGTTATTTAGAATCCCGGCCATGCTGTATCTGTTTAGGCAGGTTTCTCACCATAAAGTGGGGGGAGGTACACCGATCTACCATGGTTTTGACAGGGCATCGGGGTAAAGAGATCCATTGGCTTGTATTCAGTGTATTTTTGGTCGTACCTGTCAGATGCGTGTGTACTTGCGCATTCAAAGTTAGGCTTTTTCACGATTAAGTGTGAAACAAGGCTATATTCGAATGGACAGTTATCATGAGTAGCAGTGGGAAGTCCCGATTTATTAAGCTGCAATTTATCATGGACAGTCCAACAGCTTGTAGAGATCCATATACTGTGCCGAAGGCTGAAGTGGCCTCGTCTAGCTACGGATGTAGACGTTCATATGTACACTAACGTAGTAGCCACCACGTAGTTTTTATTTGCCTTTGCAGGTTACCAAACTACTCGAGGAATACCAAGCCATTTTGGGTCCCGATTACGGTAAGTATCATATTTGTCCACTAAATCGCAATCGGTCGAACGCTTCAGAGCATATCTCGTGGCCCTCCAAATCTGTCTATAGCTCCATAGATGCGAATTGCATATTGTCTTTTTGTGAGGCTTTGTCGTTAACGCCCTAGGTAGTTTGCTAACCAGAATAAGCAACAATTAACCATAGCATGTAGAGAAAAAACAGCACCCTACCTCGCTCACCTCTGATCCTCAAGTTACTCTTTACAAATGTCCTGTCTGATCAATCTAATCGAGAGCGAGCGAAATTCTAAGTTTTAACCCTAATGTTTCACTGCCCGATTTTCGCCCTAATAAGGACGATGGGGGCGTTTTATGTTATTGCTTTAAATGTAGTCGACTGAATTTGCGGTCCAGGCCTTTATAGATTTGTCCATCTTAGTCTCTTCATCTATGATATGAGGGTACGGTCTTGGATTTAATTTCCCCTGTATTCTCGTGGCCTGCACGCCAAGCTTTCATAATTACCGGGCTTATGGATGACTTTCAGTGTGTAAATTACTAAAAGCGCTTGTCAGAGTAGCCTTCATCCTTGCATTCTAGGCGCGCCAATAGGGGTCGTCAGATTTGCACCAAGCGACTCAAACAATGCATAGTTTTGGTTTCCCACAGATGTCAGCGTGCTGACCGGTGTCTGTGCCAAGGACAAGATCTGCAACCAACTGGCTCTTATATTAACTCTGAAAAACTGCTTTGAAACTGGTATAAATTTCCAAACATAAGTAGGTAGTCTAGCCTACTTCAGGAATATGAAAAGCACTTCCACACAGACCCCGATTATTTGCCTGTTTTCATTCAGTAGTAAATGTTTATTCTCAAACTGAAAATCCACGCTATTAATGGGAAACCTGCTGTACGCTTCAGTCGAAATTGCGTCATCTCGACACGTGCCCATCTATCAGCCCCGCAAGAAGCCGATTAGCCGCTTTGCTTCATTCCTCTCCCTCTTCACGGGCGGTGGACAAGGCCGCAAATTTGGTTCACACAACTTCCTACCGGAGACCAGTAGCAGCAACTCGTCCATAGCAAAATGCGCGACGAAAGATCCCCAACTGTCAGCACAGCACCCCCAAGGGGACCGTCTTCGCAAGATAGAGGAGCAGGTGGGACGACTATCCGGCTGCTTCCAACTCTGCGCGGACCCAGCCATTGGCTCCACTCTCGGTCTCAGCAGCAAGACCTACCTAGTGCACATTCGACTGCAGCCTCTGGGTAGTGAGCAGTCCTCGGGGAGATCCCTTACTGGCGCCGTCGCCGGCCGTAGGGACAGCGTCCTCGAGTACCCTGAGGGGAGCTCACCTTCACCGACTGTCACTTCGACGGCCTTCTGTTGGTCCTTCAAATTCTCTGCAAATCAGACCGGATTCTATGCCTCCACTTCAATCTTAAACGCCGCAGTGACCGGCTACGTGCCTCCCAACGCGACTTATGCGCTGAGTGAGACGACACACAACCTCAGCCCAGAACCGTTTACTGCGCTTGTCGCCACAGTAAGTGCTGTGGTGTGCCTTTCCTTCTGATTGATAGGGCTAGAATATTTTCCGGTAAGGCGCGGTCATAGGTACCCCCTTCCGTATTACAGGTAGTTTAGCCCTAAATTCTCTGAGAGGTTAGAGTTAGGGCTGCGGTTAGAGTTAGGAAGGTCATGGTTGGGGTCAAGGTTAAAGTTCGTGCACGGCAATACGTACTCACGCGAAGTTTAGAGTAAGGCTGCCTGTAATATGGGGGCACTGATACCCATGTCCAACCGTTCTACTTCTTTGCGTACTGCCGC